TCCATAGGGGTTTGAAATTGGAAAAACTGTAAGTGGGGGGGAAGCATACAGGGGGGAATGGTAGCCTCACCTCTCTGGTGGTGATACAGTTGCTGAGGAGGCACCCTTTATCCTTTGCCTCCTTCCCCTTTATACACAATATGCTTTTTTTTTTGGAGGGGAGTTATGTGCTATGAGACTGACACACTGTGCTTTCATCTGCAGGAGGACGTTCCATGTCCATCGTCTTTATCGGTTATCAAAGACAGGACACAAGGGGAAACTCTACAGGACGCCTTCTGTCTAGCGGATGACCTCTCCTCTGACGAAGAGTATTACATAGAAGAAAGCAAAGCATCACGGTTTAAGAAATCTGGCATGAGACGCATCAACAACATAAAAAAGGCGTTTTCCAGAGAGAACATTCAGAAGACAAGGCAAAATTTTGGCAAGAAGGTGGACAGACTTCGAACAAGAATAGTGACGCCAGAGAGGAGAGAGCGAGTCAGGCAGTCAGGAGAGAGGCTCAGACAATCTGGGATCAGGTTCAAGAAAACTATATCCAAGGCGGCCCCAACCAAGGAGACATTCAAGAAAAATAAGAAAACCAAGGAGCCAACGACAACTGAAGATCAAGGAAGAGTCCGGGACGCCAGCACTGATACAGCCGTGGACAGTGCAGAGGCTGAACCTGTCACAGAGGAAATTTCCTACACTGAAGTGATAACCAAAGTGAAGAAAGACCGGGGCGGGAACTCCAAAGGCCCTTTGCAGGCAGAGAAGAGAGCAATTACTCCAGAAAAAATTGTGCTCCGACCAGAAATCAAAGAAGACGAGGATGCCCTTCTACTGGATTTAAAGCCATCTGCTTAAGCGGGCAATGTCTGTCCTACCGTGTTGGTGCCATGGTGGTGGGGGAAGAGCAATCCCTATAAATTGGATAGATTTAGACTGTGGTTTCCAGTGTTCCCTGAGGTCATTCCTCCCGCGCTGATTTCCCTGCAAGCCTTTGTGTGATTTTGACACACAGTCTGCTAATGGTGTGTGTGTG